TAGTTAGGGGAAATATGTGAATATATATATGGAATGGAAAATTGGATTTATATACTTAAGTAAATTGTAATATTGTATTATTTGGTTAATCTGATAAAAAAATGGAGAAGAGGGAAGGAAATGAGTTATATATATAAGTGTACGAAAATTAAGATTTATAATTGGAATAATGCAATCTAGGGAAAATATGTGGAAACTGATAATAAAAAGAAATGGAAAAGAGGGATAATTGTAAAACTGCTGAATACTAAATATCTATGATTGGAATGATGGAATATAGGGAAAATATTTGAAATTATATTGTATTGTGAAAAGGGAGTAATGGGAGAATATTTGAATAAGATAATTTAGAGTTTATTTATTTATTTATTTATTTATTTATTTATTTATTTATTTATTTATTTATTTATTTTGTATACCGCCCTTCTCCCAGAAGGGATTCAGGGCGGTGAACAGCCAAAATTAAAAAACATACAAATGCAAAAGTTAAGATAATTAAAAGAATTAAATCATTGGCTACCCAATTTAAAACCCCAAATCCATAAAATTTAAAATCCCAATTAAAAACCATTTAGGCTAGGCCGGCTTGATGAAATAAAAACGTCTTCAGGGCTTTACGGAAGGTCCGGAGGTCCGGGATCAATCGTATTCCAGGAGGCAGCTCATTCCACAGGGCGGGTGCCCCCACAGAGAAGGCTCTCCCCCTGGGGGCCGCCAGCCGACATTGCCTGACCGACGGCACCCCGAGGAGGCCCTCTCTGTGAGAGCGTATTGGCCAGTGGGAGGTTATCGGTAGCAGCAGGCGGTCTCGCAAATACCCTGGCCCTAAGCCATGGAGCGCTTTAAAGATGAGAACCAACACCTTAAAGCGCACCCGGAAGACCACCGGGAGCCAATGCAGCTCGCGCAGGAGAGGTGTTACGTGGGAGCGCCACGTCGCTCCCATAATCACCCGCGCGGCCGCATTCTGCACCAGCTGGAGCCTCCGGGTGCTCCTCAGGGGGAGCCCCATGTAGAGAGCGTTACAGTAGTCCAGGCGTGACGTAACCAAGGCATGAGTGACTGTGCACAAGGAGTCCCGATCCAGAAAGGGGCGCAACTGGCGTATCAGGCGAACCTGATAAAAAGCCCCCCTGGCCACGGCCGTCATATGCTCTTCTAAAGACAGCCGTGTGTCCAGGAGGACGCCCAAGTTGCGAGCCCCCTCTGTGGGAGTCAGTGACTCGCCCCCAATAGCCAGCGATGGCACCAGCTGGCTATACCGGGACGCCGGCATCCACAGCCACTCGGTCTTGGAAGGGTTGAGCCGAAGCCTGTTCCTCCCCATCCAGACCCGCACGGCCTCCAGACACTGGGACATCACTTCGAGGGCATCATTGGGGTGGTCTGGGGTGGAAATGTACAGCTGAGTGTCATCAGCGTACAGATGGCATCGCACCCCAAAACCACGGATGATCTCACCCAGCGGCTTCACATAAATGTTGAACAGGAGCGGCGAGAGGACCGACCCTTGCGGCACCCCGCAAGCAAGGCGCCTCGAGGTCGACCTCTGCCCCCCTGCCAACACAGACTGCGACCGGTCAGAGAGATAGGAGGAGAACCACCGCAGCACGGTGCCTCCCACCCCCAGTCCCTCCAGCCGGCGCAGCATGATACCATCGTCGATGGTATCAAAAGCCGCTGAGAGGTCTAACAGGACCAGAACAGAGGAACAACTCCTGTCCCGAGCCCTCCAGAGATCATCCACCAATGCGACCAATGCCGTCTCCATGCTGTACCCAGGCCTGAAGCCGGACTGGCACGGATCTAGATAGACGGTTTCATCCAGGAACTGTGGGAGCTGTCGCGCAGTTAGGTTTAGATTTTAGAAAAATGATTGATTTCAATTTAAAGGGTTTCAATTTGAAAAAAGTAAAGAGAGGAGCGGAAAAAGAAAAATTAAGATTAGAGATTAGGGCGAATGGTAATATTGTTTACATATTAGAGGAAGTGGAAGGAAAATAAAATAAAAAATTAGAGAGAAAGAATTTTATGGCGAAAAGTGAAATATATAAAATGGTGTTTGAGAAACGAAAAGCGGTACAAATTGTGACTCGGCCAATTCTCTGTTCAGAAAAAATGCATTGTTTCTTTGTTGATGTGTGTTTGGGGAAAAAAAAACTTTTATTTAGAAAAAAGGTTGGCGCTGGGGACTTGCCACCTTCAGCCTCCAGCTAACGTGGCACAACGTGGCCTCAGCAGGTTCTTCTCCCAGTGCAGCCCGGAGAGGTTTCCCAGTGGCGTGAGTCAGAGAGAGAGGATGGGGCACTTCCCGCTTTGAGAGGGCAGGGCGATGCCTGCGGGTGATGAAGCCTCCCTCTTCGGAGTTGCAGAGCTGAAGAGCAGCCCTGGCCTGGAACTTCCCCTCTTTCCTTGTCTCTGGCTGCCTCTGCCAGGAATTGTCCAGCAGGTTGCAAAAGTCGCGCTTTGTTAGGTGGGTGTGGAGGAAACTGCCCCCCTCCCAGAAAGCTGTTGCTGTTGAGCAACCAGGGAACCAGCTTCCTGCCAGGATGGGCTTCTCAAAAGGCTTCGTCAGAACAGGAAGAAGCTTCTTGGATGAGAAGCAAAATGTTTTCAAGGAAAAAACAAAGAAAATCTAGTTACCTTTTGGAAAGAGGAACTTTGGGCCAACCGTAACCTGGATGATGGAGAACCTCCAGCAGAAGCCTCCACAGATCTGGGGCTGTGTGGCCCCCATGGGGGAAGAAAGGGGGCTTCGGACAATGTCTTCTCCTCTTCGTCATCAGGATTGGGACGTCATAGAAAACACCTGCCTGAAACACCAGAGGTCCTTTTTCTCCAAACCCTAATAAACAGCTCAGAGATCCAAGTGGGGCTTCTGAAGGGGAGACTGCCATATTATGGTAAGGGGTCTCCGCTGGCTGCTTCATGCCACCCTCTCTCAGACCCCCTCCATCCTCTGATTTGAACCCTAAGCCTAACCCTGGCAGAAGTTTTGAAAGCTTTTCTTCCATGATTGTTCGTTTCTTAGTGGGGTTTTATTGTTATTGGTGACCTGTGGGGGTATTTTTAGAAGCTACCATTGATGGTTTAATTATCATTTTGAATTCTCTGTAAGCTGCCCAATTGTGGCATACAAGAGATGAGTTTGATAAATGAATGAATAAATAACCCAACCACTTTTATTTCTCTGCCCCGCTTTTTAAAAATCTGGTTAGTGCGGTTGCGTAGGGTCTGGTTGTTCTATCCTGCCCTTGGTGGCCCTTTCAGGTTAACTCCTCTCTCGCTAACTGTGACAAGTATGTACATAGAGAGAGGGGGTGTGGGTCACATTATTCTCCAAAGCAACAAAGAAGGCAGGGCAAGAAGCAACGGAGGGAAACTAATCAAGGAGGGAAGCAACCTGGAATTCAGGAGAAACTTCCTAACTGTGAGGGCAATTAACCGGTGGAACTGCTTGCCCCATGAAGTTGTGGCCGCTCCATCACTGGTGGTTTTCAAGAAGAGACTGGACAGTCACTTGTCTAAATGATATAGGACAGTGTTGGCGAACCTTTTCGTGCTGAAATGGGAGCGTGCACATGCGCACGGAGGAGCACTGGAATCCAGAAGAGCAGTTCCCTGGCATGGACACACATGCTGAGAAACTGAGCTTCTGGTTTCAGCGTTCGCATGCATGCCAGTCACCTGGTCTTCTGGTTTCTGGTGCACATGCACACGCAAAGACCAACTGGCCAGCACACTTGTGCACGCTGGAACCAGGAAGAGCAACAGATGACGGCTGGCGTGCTTGGAGAGATGGCTCTGCGTGCCACTTCCAGCACGTGTGCCACAGGTTTGCCATCACAGGTATAGGATCCCCTGCTTGACCAGGGGGCAGGACTAGGAGACCTCCAAGGTCAAATCCTAATCCTAATCCTATTCTATTCTATATTCCAATATTTATTCTATTCTATTCTATTCATTTTCTAAATTCCATTCCATTCCATTCTATTCTATTCATTTTCCCCGGATGACGTATGAAATGTTGTGCTGGTTGCTGGTTGCTAAGACTTGCCCACCGGTTTCTTTGCAGACTTTAGTAGCTTGGTTTATTATTGTGGGGTTTTGTGTTTTGTTTCATAGTACAGGCAGTCCTCGACTTATAACAGTTCATTTAGTGACCATTCAAAGTTACAACCGCACTGAAAAAAGTGACTTATGATCGTTTTTCACACTTACAACCATTGCAGCCTCCCCAATGGTCACATGTTCAGAATTCAATGCTTGGCAACTGATTCGTGGATCCCCTTTTGCGACCGTCTGATAAGCCAAGTCAATGGGGAAATCAGATTCACTTAAGGACCGTGTTACTAAGTTACCAACTACAATGATTCACTTAGCAACTGTGGCAAGAAAGGTCACAAAATGGGGCAAAACTCACTTAAATGTTTCAGTTAGCAACAGAAATTTTGGAGCCAATTGTGGCCGTAAGTTGAGTACTACCTGTATCTGCAAAAGCCTGTGATAAATACATAAATCAATCATTCCAAAGTCTGTGAACTTTCGGGGGACTGGCCTTTTCAAAGGGGCCCAGGGACACGGGCTGAGGGCCACAATGTCCAGCCCTGGCTGAGCCATTCGTCTGCCAATATTGCAGGCGGGCATCCAGCAAAGACCAGGCTGTGCAACATGGAACGTGGCTTTTCAGCTCAGCCACAATTTACAGGGAGGCTTCAATGGAGTTGCTACCCCAAAAAGCTCCCCCTTCAAGTCACAGGATTTGGGGGGGGCGGGGAGGGAAGGCTCAGGCCTTTGCCAGCTGCTCAGCTCAGGGTTGGGACACACACACACACACACACACACACACACACAGAGTTGCCAGTTGGTGCAGCCGAGATGCTCCTGGAGGAAAGAGCCCCAAGCCCCCACCCAGGGCTGGCTTCCCCCCAACCTTCCCCCAGGGCCCCAAAGAGGCTGCAACTTTCCATAGGATCACGGGGAAAATATGCACGGACTGCAAGGGTGTCAGCTGCATTTAATTAAAGCCGGGCCTTTTCCTCTGATGTTCTCGGAACAGAAAATGTTAACGGAAGATGAATTTCTGCCAAAAGGCCAGGATGGCAGCCCCTGAGCTGCTCCTTTAAGCAGAACACTATGTCGTCGTCATAATCATCATCATCATCATCAATGCAGGCCCCCACTGGACCCCAATGTTTAACAAAAATCAGTTTCAATAAAATAGTAGCAGCAATCTCCAGATTTCAGCCCCTGCCCCTGCAATGCCCAAGGGAACCACCAGAGGTCCCCAGGGCACAGGTAAAGACTGACCCCTGCTGGGCACAGAAGCGGCCATCCCTAACTGCAGCCTGAGAACTGGGGGTCCCAGAGAGACCGCTGGAGGTTCCTGAGACACCCCAACAGGGGGAAGGGGGCCCTTCCTGGCAGGAGAGACCCTTGCTGGTGAACGATGAGAAGGAGGCAAAGGCTTAGGATCCTGGATGGGGGAGGAAGTAGGAAGGTGGGAGTAGATCCAAGGAGGGAGGGGCTGATGGAGGAGCTGCGTTCACACCTGACCCTTTGGCAGCCTCAGGCACCCGGAGGGCAGCAGGGCCTGGGTGGGACCTGGAGCATCTGTGACCCCTTCTAGCACCGTGGAGAAACCGAGCTCCTTTGGCCCAGGGCTGCCCAGCGGAAGCTCCTGGAGCAAGCCCACCCCCGTTCAGGAGGTGGGGCATCCTTGTGCCTTAACAGGGAAGGCCCCTAGGGGACCCTCCCTACATCTCATCTCCTGTCCTTTGGCACCATCCCTCCGACAGGGCAGGTGGACTCACTGCCCCCCAAGCTCTCCCACTGGGGCTTCCTTCCACCCTCCTGCCTCCCCACTGCTGACCCTCATAGTAGGCATCTCCCAGCTGCCCTCCAAGACCCACAGGGCAGGTGCGAAAGGGCCGCTTAAGGTTGGGCCCTGAGGCCGGCCCCTCCGTGCCGCCAGCAGAGACCCGGCCTCAGCAATGTTGGAAGGACTGCTCGTGGCTGACGAAGGCCGGGTTGGTGTAGGCGGGGCCCGGCCCTTCGAGTGGGACGGCCGTGGATCCTGAGAAGTCGGTCCTGTTGCTGGGGGGCCACGCCGGGTCCCGCTGGAGGGCGCGCTGGAGCTGCTTGTAGCGGCTGCTGGACTGGTACCCCACGGCCCTCTTCAGCCACTGCCAGAGCGCCCTGTTCTCTATCAGCCATTCCTGCGGGGGGAGGGGGGAGGAAGAGAGGGGGCAGAGCAGGAGTCAGAGGGCCACAGCAGAGGACAAAGCCTCCCCACCCCCCCCCCCCCCCCCCGAGGGGCAGCCCTGGAGACAGGATGCCAGAAGCCAAGGCTGCCCCTGATGGGTTGCCAGGCCTGTGGAACGAGGTGGCTGGGGGCACCTCAGGAGAGGAACTGCAGGACGGTTAGTCCTCCACTTATGAGCCCAACGTCTCCACTGATAAGCAAAGCAGTTGTTAACTGAGACACGCCCCATTTTACAACCTTTCTTGCCACGGTTGTTAAATGAATCTGGCTTCCCCATTGATTTTGCTTGTCAGAAGTTCACAAAAAGGGGATCACGTGACTCTGCAACCGTCATAAGTCCATGCCAGTTGCCAAGCCCCCGAACCTGGATCATGGGACCCCGGGGAGGCCGCACTGGCCGAAGTCTGTCCTCAGTCCCTGTTTTCAGGGCCATTGTGACTCTGAATGGGAACCAAATGAATGGTTGCCAGTCATCCTGAGAGGGGGCAGTTTTCGGCCGGGGGGGGGCAAGGCAGGACCCCACTCACCTCCACAGCAAGGGAGGCGATGAAGGCGACCAGCAGCAGCCCAAGGAGCCAGACCCTCCAGAGGGTGGGGGTGCACACCAGCTGTGGGTGGGAGAGATGGCAGTGGGTCGGGGGGGTCCTGCATCTTGCTCCCCACCCCCCCACCCCCCACCCCTCAGGCCTGGCTAAAGACTCTCTGCCTCCCCTGGGAAGCGGCTGACCGGAGCTCCGCTCACTCCCTCCACCCCCGCAATGGGGCAGCCCAGCCTTCTTGGGGTCCGTCTCTCCCAACCTGAAGCCCCCCCCCGCCCCCCTCCCCAATAGGCTATTTTTTATTTATTTATTTGTTTGTTTAAATTTCTATACCGCCCTTCTCCAATGTAGGACTCAGGGCGGTGAACAGCCAAAGTAAAAACAAGACATACATACAAAACATACAAAATCTAAAAACTGTTTAAAATAATTAAATAATTTTGGCCGTAATTAAAACATTCCAATTTAAAATCCATTTAAAATTTGACTCAAGCCAGGCTGGACTAACCCCCATCATGCACTGCCAGCAGAGCCTTGGATCCAGGAGTGCAAGCCTGCTTCAGACGCCCAGGGGTGCCTGTGGGTGGGATTTGCACTCGCTTGGCCACAGGTCAAATTCCTGGTCCTTGGAGTATAAACATGGACAGACCCAACACAGGAGGGCAAGCTTGGCTGCAGGCCAGGGGCCAAGCCTGGGAGACAACAGACAACAGACACACACACACACACACACACACACACACACACACACACACTTTTTTCCATTGCGGATGAAAGCTGAGCTACCGAACTGCCTGCCTGCTGCTCTGAGCCTCCACATCAGCTCTGCAGCTCCGTCTGGAGGGGGCACCAGAGGATTCCCACCCCCCGGCACCCCTTCCAGGCCATGGGCTGAACCTTCTGCCATGCGCTGGAGCCCAACGGAGGTTCTGCCCTGAGGTTCAGCGGAAGGCCGGCCCCACCTCGGCCAGGCTGAGAAGTGGGTCTCTGGGATGGGGGCCTTCCAGACCCCTGTGGCCAGGCCTCCCCCCCACCCCCCACCCGTCAGCCCTGCTTACATCCATCTGGGCGTAGAGTCCGTCTATGTTGGCAAAGAGGAAGAAGAGGCAGGTGGCCAGCTGCACCATCAGGACAGCAACGAAGATGTCTGGAGGGGCAAAAGAGTCGGGGGGGGGGAGGAGAGGCAGGCCAGGAAGAGGCTAAAGGAGGGGCCAAGTGCCAGCAGGAGAAGGGCAAAGAGACGGAACCCGTAAGATCCCAGCCCCCCCCCCCCGCCCCCACCTGCCCTCCGAGAGCCCCTCGGGCCTTCCCTCCCTCCGTCACAGACAGTGAAGGATGCCCTTGTGGGAGCTAGCCCAAGGACCCGTGATGTGGATATGGGGTGTGTGAGTGTGTGTGCAGATGGGAGAGGGTCCAAGAGGCTCAGGGGAGCTCATTTCTCCCCCCCCCTCCAGAGAGAGCCAAGCGCAACCTCTCTCAAAGGCCCCCTGCTGCCTTTGGGACCTTGGATTTGGGGTGTGAGTGTGTGACTCTGGGCTTGTCATGCAGAAGGAGCTCCCTTCCACCAGCTGAGCTGCCCCGGGCCACAACTGGGCTTTCCTGGTTTTTTTCTTTGAAGAACTGAAGATCTGAAGAAGCTTCTTAGATGAGGAAGTCCAGTTGCCTTTTGGAAAAGCACCTTTGGGACTCTCTACCCAGACTTCTCTTGGGGGATTTCTGGCATGGAGGCTCCAGGCAGGGAGGGGCCTTGTGGCCTGAAGGAAACCCCCGGCCTCCTCGGCCTCTGGCTGTTGACCCTAACCCTCTGGAGAGCACATCTCAGGAACCCAAGACTCAGCAGCTCCAAATCCCTTCAGGCCAAAATCAACGTACAGCCCAGCCCAAAGGTGGCCCTCGGGGTCACCTCGTGCCTTCCCTTCCTCGGGAGCTGCAGATGGGCAACCAAAGCCCAGCTAATGCCCAGTGGGGACTTGTGGTCACTCAGCCCCCAGGGAGACCCCCCCTCCCTCTGGGCCCCTGCTTGGCCCTCTTACAGTTTTTGTAGAGGGGCTCCCGGAAGGGCCTCCCCTTGGAGAAGACCAGGGCCACCGTCAGGCAGTAGAGGGTGCAGAGGAGCCACACGCTGGTGTTCTCGTAGCTCTGGAAGCCGTCCCTGGACAGGGGAGCTCGGGGGCCGTGGCCGTGGCTGTGGCCGTGGCTGTGGCCGTGGCCGGGAGTGGCGTTCTCAGGGGAGCAGGCCCTGGAAGGAAACGGGGGAGGGGAGACCTCAAGTGTTTATTGGGTGTTTATTTATTACGTTTATATTAGAAGGTAGAATCCTAGGGCTGGGAGGGACCTCAGAGGCCTTCTAGTCCAATCCTCTGCTCAAGGCAGGAGACATCACATCATCCTAGTCCAATCTATTAACAAAAGCCCACCCCTGTACGGTCTCTCCGTATTCTTAGTGTTTCACCTTTGTCCTTAACTTTAATGCTGCCACATTTATGCTTTTATGCCTTGAAAAGCTGCCCAGAGTCTCAGAGAGTGAGACGGGGATGGGGGTGGGGAATATAAATTGAAATAAATTTGAAGCACGGGATTCCCTGTGCTTCCAAAGGGGCAGCCATCTTAGCCAATGCAGCCAGGTCTGCGCCCCAGCTCTCCTGGGCTCCCCTCACTCTCTGGGGGGGAGGAGGGGGTCTCCACGCTGTGGGACTGGGGGGGGCTGCCTACCTGTGGATGTCACTGGGGGAGTACCAGAGCTGCTGCTGCACCAGAAGGAAGCCGCACAGCTGCACCGCCAGGCTGAAGAGCAGGTTCAGCACCACGGAGAGCAGCAGCGGGGGGGCGAGCAGCTGCGTGGGGGGCCGATAGGGCGCCAGGCCGGGGTGGGGCCCATTCAGGCTCACTGCAAGAGAGGGCACCGGGGGTGGGTCTCCCTGGGCCAGAGCAGCTCCAGGGAGGCCAAGCCCAACCCAGGGCTTTGGGAAGGCAGTTGGCACGGCAGGTGTGGAGACGGAGCCTGAAGCAACCCTGGCATTTTATGCCTGCCAGTTCCCTCTTGGCAGGGAGGCCGGCATTTCTCCTAGGAGGTGAAGGGTGCCAGCTTTCCTCTTGGCACACGAGCACTCTGGCGGTCGGGAGGGAGCAGGGCTGCAGGGTCTGCCCCTGAATGAGGCTCCCCCATCCTGAACCGAGCCAACTGTGCCCAGTAAGGGTGGGGCCTCTCTTGAGCCGTTCGTCCGTTTCGTTTGCTTGGCAGACCGGAGGTGGCCGTCCATGCAGAACCAGCCCTTCCGGCCATCCCCAGATCAGTAAAGGGGGGGGGCTCCTTCCTTGGTCTCCCTGGAAGGCCCCTTTCCAGCCTCTCCTCCTGGGGTTCTTGGGGGCAGCTTACTTGTCATCCCAATGACGGTGGTGATGGCCAGATCTTGGAAGAGGAACTGGTAATTCCCAAAGGAGTTGAGTTGCTGAAAGCGAGAAGCACGATGGCAGGTCTTAGGCCTCTGGACGCCCAGAGGGGGGTCTCTCCTCCCCAGCCCCAGCCCTTCTAACTGGAGGAGAGGGAAAGGGGCGTGGGCTTCGGCTTCCCCACCCCTCCCAACAGGAGAACGCCAGCCAGCTCACTGCAGGAGCTACCTGGGTCAGGACCCTGAGGCTCTCCAGAGACCTTCCCTTGCTGAGACTGTTCTGAACTGTTCTAACCCCTTAAGGCCCCCTCCCTCCCCCCATGGCTGTTGAGAGGGAGGGCCCCCTCCCAGATGCAAAGAGAGAGGCCCGGACTGGTGGGTGCTGTTTGAAATGAAGGAGGAAGAGCCCTCTGACCCAGGTCTGGTCATTCTCCCAAGGCTGGCCCTTGGCCGGAAGAGCCCTGGTTCCTGGTGGGACCGACTCCTGCAGCGCCCCCTCCCCACTCTGGTCCCAGCAGAGAAAAAGGCCACCCTACCCAGTAGAGCAGGAGGACGCCAATGTAGCTGGCCAGGCTGAAGACGGCCATGTACTTGAACATGCAGAAGGAGGTGACCAGGGCGGCCCGGCCGTGCCTGGGGGGGAAACAGGAGGGTTAGAGAGGAACGGGGGGGGGGAGTCCTTCTGGGCATGCTCAAGAAACCAGGCTGGTGAGGGCAGATGGAGATGGGTGGAATTTCTGCAAGGAAAAGGAAGGTAGAAACAGGGAGCTTCGGAGAGGTTTTCCTGCTCCTCCAAAGACCACCAAGCCCAGCAGGGCCCGGGGAGGGTCTTGACTCCCCACTGGAAGAGCAAAGGTGGCCCTTCCTGCCACAGGCTTCTCCTCCTCTGGAGAGACCCTCTGCTCTGCTCTGCTCTGCTCTGCTCAGGGCTGCTCTGGAGGCGCCTGGCTGGAGGCTCCTTTCCCACCTGCAGCAAGTAAAGCCTCCACTTTTGACTGCCCCCTGAGAGGAAGGCCAGCCTGCGTTGGATGAAGGGGACTCAGTCCTCCTCTGAATGAGGGAGGGGTGTTCCCAGGCAGCCCAGCTGCGCCAAAGGAGCCCCCTCCCAATAATGAGGGTTTGCCTCTTTGCAAAACCTGCCCCTCTCCATTTAGTGACCCCAAAGCCCCTCTCCTTGAGGCTTGGGGTGCAGCCGGTGTAACGGTGGGCACCACATGATGCAGACCCTCCACCCAGGGCCTCCCTTGGCATTCCCGCCCCATCTCTTCTCTGCCCACCTGATCAGCTCCGGCACACACTCTATGGTGGGCACCTTGGAGGTGAAGGGGGAAGCCACCGAGGCATCCTGCTCGGAGAGGGAGATCCCCGCGTGGGCTTCCTTCAGGGCCTGCAAGGGAAGAAGCCGGACTCAGAGCCAGGCCTGGTCAACTGGCCACCCGCCTGTGTGCCCTCCGCCGGGAGGATTCAAGAGGCGGTCCCTGGCCTGGTGCTGCTCAGGGACCCTCAGGTGAATTAACCAGAAAGGTCACTCCTGTGATCTATCAGGAAGTGGGGGAGGGGAGGGAGGGGGAAAGGGGGCACAGGGGAGGGGGTAACGGTGAGAGAGGGGAGATGGGGAATGGGAAGGGGGCACAGGGGCCCCCATTAAAGGAAAGCTGGCCTGGACTGGAGAGCTTTTCCAAAGAGGGGCAGAGGCACCGGGCTGGGTCAGCCAAGCCACTCGGCCAGATTCCCGAGAGAATTCAGCGCCAGCCTCACCCAGCAGCCTCTCCTGTGGCTGTGAAGAGGCCCAGCAGCACCTTCTAAGCAGCCCCTCAATGCCTGGCGAAGATGCCCAGCATCCTTGCCTTGGCCCCCATCCTGGGCATGGCAGGGAAGAGCCCGTCCCGTGGGCACAGTGATCCCCAAAGCATGCCTCTTTCACTGATTCTGCTCTGCCCCTGCCTGTTGGCCAGGGAGACTCCTGCCCCCCTGCCCAGAAGACTCACCCCACAGTCATTGGCCCCGTCTCCGCACATGCCCACATAATAGCTGGAAGAGAGAAGACAGAGCCCGGGCCCCTCCGTGAGTCCCGGGCAGCCCAGCCCAGCCCAGCCCGATTCCCTTGCAGGGGTCCCCAGGGCCCCTCACTCACTCAAGCTGCTGGAACTGTTGCACCAGGTGGGCCTTCTGAGCAGGAGACATCCTGGCGAAGACCGTCCCGTTCAGCAGCAGCTGCAGGAGAGAGCCGGGGCTTCACAGGGGGCATCAGACCCACAGGGGGGAGAAGGGAGCCCAGAGCAGGCTGGCTGGCCCAGCACCTTCCCCTCCGGGCTGGGCTCTCTGCGCTCACCTGCGGGAGGAGGTGCCCAAAGTGCTGGCTGAAGACCTCGTAGGAGCCGCCGCTCAGGCAGAAGTGGAAGCCACGGTCCCAGGCGGGCGGAGGGTCTCCCCCCGGCTCCACAATGACCCCCTGCAAAGGAGAAAGGGGGGCAGTGTGGGGGAAATGGAACTGTTCCGTAAACAAATGCGGCCTTGCAGCTCCCAGTGGGGCCCATGAAAGGTTTTGTCCTTGCAAGCCCTGAATCTCAGCTGTAGTCCTTTGTTTTCTGGAGAAGGGCGGGAAGATTTTACTGATGAGCGTGTATCCACCCATCATTTCCCCTCCTTTCTGAAATGTGTAAATCTGAGGGCATCTCTTTGTGTGTGGGGGGGGGGGGTGTCTCCCTCTCTCCAGCACTTCTGTCTAATACACCCTGCAGTGAGCCTTGATTATTTGCTTTGGGCCCTGTGTTTTGAGGCCCCAAAGGGGTCTGGAGGGCACAAAGGCAGCCACTGAGGGTTTTGCCCAGCAGCCCCTGGCCCTCTGCCTCCCCTCCGCCAGTCCACTCACCTCTGGTCTGCCGCCACCTTCCTGGCTGAGCTCCTCCAGCTCTTCCCAGCTGACGGAGGCCGAGGGCTGGCCTGGCTGGGCACAGGCTTCCACCAGAATCACCCGGCTGCCCTGGGGGATCATGCCCGCATTTCTGGCCACGGTGATCGCAGTCTGAAGGTTGTCACCTGGGAAGTCAAGAAGGGGCATCGCCAACTGAGCCTGGAGCCTGAGTCCCATGCCAGAGTCCAAGGCCCAACCCCGAGCCTTGTCTTTAGCAGCTGGGCTGGCGAAGCTGGGCAGGAGGGGGCCCCTTGGGTGCCATGGGGAGGCCTGCCCCCCCCCAAAGACACAGACTTTCCTTGCACAGAAGGGGATGCCTCTGTCGGTACCAGGACTTATTTTTTGGTTTTGCTACCCCAAAATTTCCCTTGGCCATTACAACATCCACCATGTGACTTCCTTGGTCGTCAGGCAGTCATGAAGGAAGGGAAGCATGGGATATGTGGTGGTAAAGAAAGAAACCCACTAGGAAGAGATGGGAAGGGAATCCTGGCAGAGGTATCCCTGCTTAGGGGGTCTGGTTTTGCCCAGGATGGCTGCTCCCAATGCGCCCCACCCAGGGGTGAAATCTAGCAGGTTCTGACAGGTTCTGGAGAACCGGTAGCGGAAATTTTGAGTAGTTCGGAGAACCGGCAAATACCATCTCTGGCTGGCCCCAGAGTGGGGTGGAATGGAGATTTTGCAATATCCTTCCCCCAGGAGTGGTGAGGGAATTGGGATTTTGCAGTATCCTTCCCCTGCCACGCCCACCAAGCCACACCAAGCCCACCAAGCCACGCCCACAGAACCGGTAGTAAAAAAAAAATTGATTTCACCACTGGCCCCACCCAGCATCCCTGATTCACAGACCAGGATTCTGCCAAGGATGGGGGTGCTGGGTGGCACAGCCAGGGGCTTCTCCTGCTTCCAGCTACCTGGCCAAAAAGGTGGACTCACCTGTGACCATCACGCTCCGGAGGCGGGCCTGGCTGAGCTCCTGCAGGACCGGCCGGGTCTCGCTCTTCAGGCGGTTCTCCATGACCAGCAGGCCCAGGAAGGTCAGGCCGGACTCCAGCTCCTCCCTGGACAGAGGGAAGGGGGAGGTGGGCAGGCCACAAGAGGGTCCTTCTGCCCAGGAGAGCTCGGGAGACCCCACCCCATCCCAGCTGCCTCCTGGCTGGGAGCAGTTCTGTCACCCCCAAGTACAGCAAAGTCTACACGAGGTTGCTTGACCTCAGGGGGCTCAGGAGGGACCCTCTCTCTCTCCTCTGTGCCAGTCATCCTTCTCGCTGAAGTTGGGGGAGCTACACTCCAGCACTGTGTGGGAAGCCGGGCAGGGCAGGGCTGCCTCGAGGGCCAGCAGGGGGCCCTGTCTGCAGCCTCCCCTGGGCCACCTCAGGGCCTTCTCTCCTGCCCGCCTGCTGGGGCCGCCAGACCCTTACCTGGTCAGGGAGGTGGCCGGCCGTCCTTCCTGCAGCCGTTTGTGTGCCAGCGCAATGACTCGGAAGCCCTGGGAAGTGCAGCCCTGGAGTTCGTGGGCAAAGCTGGCAGGCACTGGGGGAAGGGGAGAGAGTTAGGCCCCAGGAAGGAGAAGCAGGGAGCTCCCACACCCCCACACCCCCGGTGCAATTGCCCTTGCAAGAAAGACCCCGTGTCCCAGCCAAGACAAGGAGCAGGCCCTAAAACGTCTGGACCACTCCCTTTGATCTTCACACTTAATTAGGGGTCCCATCAAGAAAGACCCCCAACTCACATCCTCCAGAGCTCAGAGCCCCCTCTCCTCCCCATCTGCCAGGCTGGAGCAGAGCCTCAGAATAACAAGCAGAATGACAGAAGGGACCTTGGAGATCTTCTAGTCCAGTCCCCTGCTCAAGCAGGAAACGCTATGCCATTCAGAACAAACGGTTATCTAATCTCTTCTTAAAAACTTCCAGTGATGGAGCATCCACAACTTCTTGTGGCAAGGTGTTCCACTGGTTAATTGTTCTCTCTGTCAGGAAATTCCTCCTTAGTTCCAGATTGTTTCTCTCCTTGATTAGTTTCCATCCATTGTTCCTTGTCTTGCCTTCTGGTGCTTTGGAGAATAGGTGGACCCCCACTTCTCTGTGGCGGCCCCTCAAATATTGGAAGACTGCTATTATGCCTCCCCTCTGCAGGCCCCATTGCTGTCCAGCCCAGCCAGGCACAGTGGGCAAAGGCAGTGCAGGGCAATGCCAGCTGGGGGCTCACCTGTCTCTGGCTGGCAGAAACTGGCCACCATCTCAGGGGCGCCCTTCATGAAGACCTGGCCGTCCCCAGGGACCTCCTGGGCCACCACCGTCATCCGTTGCAGGGCTGAAGAGAAGGGAAACTGCCGGAGGACAGCCAGGCCCTTCACAGGCACCTGTGGGGGGTGGGTGGGAGGCAGAGGTGAGACAGCCACCTAGCAGGCATTTCCCTGCACCTGTAGCCATTCCTGGACTCTTTGCATAAAACAAAACAGCACTGGGACATTGACAGGTCAATGGTTAAGGGAACCAATCTGGCATCTCTCAACCTGGCTTTCATAGGGTTTACTGGATGGCACCAAGTCATATGAGGCAGCCCCAAATCAGCTGTTTACACCCAGCTCCCCAGTTGTGCTTCTCACTCTGCCCACTGGCAGCAACTAGGGAAACAACTATCCCTACTCAGGGGTGGGAACTGGACAGAGGCTTGGGCCTGTCTCCACTTGCTCAAAGGAGACCTCACGGGTGTGGCAGTGGGTCTGTGGGCAAAGCCACCCAGTTGGCAGAAGGTCCCTGCCTGTGTCCAGGAGCACCAGGAGAGGGACCTAAGTGAAGGCCACAATCTCGCTCGCTCGACCACTTGGACCATAAGCAAGGCGAGAGCTGCAAGTCAAGCAGATGCACCTGTTTCCCTCACTTGAAGGAGCCAAGAGGAAACCGGTGCCAGGTCGAGCTTTCCTGTTGTCAAGAACTCATGGGCAGTGGGCAGGATCAGATCGAAGGATGCCCAGGCTTGGTCCCTGAGCACCGCCAGAGGCCCACCTGATCCCTCCCTGGGGTGGGGCATAAGCCAAAGGCCATGTTGAGGCCATTTTGAACAGAATTATAAGCAAGGGCCCAAAGGAAGAGAAGAGAGAGTCCCTTCTCTGCCAAGGGCTGACCAAAGGAACTGGGCACTTACCTCCGCAGCTTCGGGTCCCGGGCTGACCACCAGAACATTTGCCAGTTCTCCGTCCCAACCAACGGAGTCCGCAAGTTCCTGTTGTTTTCAACAGAAGGAAAAGTTACATTGTGCCATGAGGTCTGGGCCCCACGTCCATTGGAAAGGGGGATGCGATGACGTTGAAAAGCGGGTCTGCAGAGCTTCAAGAAATAGACTCTTCTGGTAAAGGTCAAAGTGATAAAAAGAAACTTGTGTCTGTCGATGGCCGTAGGGCAGGAGTGGGCAACTGTGGCCCCTTTCGATCGATGGACTTCAACTCCCAGAATTCCTGAGCCAGCCAAAGGGGATATATCATGACATCACCGACATGCAAATGAGGCAACGATGGGATTTGTATCATTTGAGTGATGACCACATAAGTGGCCAGGTGCCCCCCCTCTTGGTCTTGAACTAATGGGGAAGCAAGCGGCATCTTTGGTGGCCTGCCAGGGCTTGGGGAAGAGACCAGGGGGCTGCCGGCTGCCCCAAGGGGATGAAATGGGTAAATTGGCATTTGAGGAAAGGTGGCACCCCAAGGATATCATCAGGAAGTAACCCACAGACCCGGCTCCCCTCTCAGTTCATACAGCCAGACTTCCTCCAGGTTCCACATCAGGGGACACCGACAGGACCAACCCCAGATTTATTCTAAAAGAACAAAATGGAGCTTCACCCAGTGAGTTGCCTCAAACATCTTGAGGTCCAGCGGATCCCCCTGAGTCTTCCCGTCCAGGACCATCAAGGAATGGCAGCAGGCCATGGCTGCATACGCCGGGCCCCAGGGCATTGGGTGGCCAGAAGAGAAGCGATGGACCTCCTGGAAGCTGGGGTTGAGACAATAAGTCACACGCTTTGACACAAGCTACCTTAGATGTCCCACAGAGGCAAGAAACCAACCAGCATTGAAGGCATGCTTAGTTGCCTTGAGTTTGGAGCTTCTGAGTTTTCCCGGAAATTATGTTTCAGCTCTTGCTATTCTTCTACAAGACCCGTGCAGCGCCCCCCCCCCCCCCATTGCTTTGCCATCATTCTGAAACAGATCACCCTGGATGGCCAGTCATGCTGCTGAGAGCCCCTCCAGGAGGCAGGGAGACCTTGTGAACATCTGATGGGACACAGCAAAAACCCTCCTGGTTCTAGCAAGGTGAAATGGTTCTGGAACTTGCCTGCAGCTCCTGAGGAAGAGGAGCAAGATTCGCCTTCTGGGAAGATTCAGGTCTTATTATTATGAGGTTTCACACAACTGAATTTCTGAGGGGCAAGACAGATGCTCTCCATTCAGGCTTGACGTCGTGCACATCTCAGTCCATGTTTTGGGCCGTAACACTGAAGTTGTTTGCCATTGTGGTCTCAGCAGGGGGTAGTCCCACCACCCATTCAAGTGCTAACCAGGCCCAAGTCTGGATTCCTCAGAGACTTCAGGGGTAGCAGAATCAGGGCATTTACAGTTACCAGGTTCCAACTTCTGCTAGGCAAGATTACTGGCAGTCCTCAACTTATGACCATTTGATTACCAACGATGCAAAGTTATGATAGCACTGAAAAAAGCCATTTCCGTGGGACTGTTGCACCATCCCCAGAGTCACCTGATCTAAACGCCAGCGTTTGGCAAGCAGCCTGCATTCATGCCAGTTGCAGCATCCCAGGGTCACGTGATCAGCACTTGGGACCTTCCCAGGGGGCTTCTGACAAACAAAGTCAATGGGGAAAACTGGATTCGCTTAACAACCGGTACAAAAAAAGGTTTTAAAATTGGACGTGACTCCCTTGGGGATAAAATGGACAACGGGGGACAGGATTTCCATCCCTAAGTGATGCGATTGTTCGATTGCCTCGCTTAGCAATGGCAATTCTGGCCCCAGCTGTCGTCATAAGTCAAGGACTCCCTGTATGCTCCACTTCTCAAATATAGCAGTTAATTGAATTTTAGAAGAAAAAAATGGCTGGAGAGCAGAAATCCAGAGCTGGGTACCTCTTTCCTTCGGCCAAGACGATGCCCCACAGGTCCAGCCCGTCTTCAGTGAGGGTGCCCGTCTGCAGGTGGGTCCACGTGTGCCAGAGTCAAGGCGAGGACAAAACAAGGGGGCACGGTCAGGAAGCAGGGCAAAGATTTTTTTTTAAGACTTTGGAAATTCCTTAGTACTTGGCAGAAAACTCTGGTCTTCATTTTAGCTTTAATTCTTTGTGGGATAGAGAGAGACAACGGGTGCATAATCTGGGGTCCTCCTGGATTCTCGGCTCCTGCCCAGGGACAGTGGGCAGCTATGGCCAAGGGGGGCTTTGCGCAGATTGCTCTTAGGCCCCCTTTGTGTCCATTCCTGACCTGGTCTATCTGCTCACCATCAATCACACTTTACTGCAGTGCTCTCTACATGGGGCTGCCCTTGAAGACTGCTCAGAAGCTGGGGCAGAATATGGCAATTTGGGCAGTCTTGAGTTTAGTGTCATAGTTTGCCATGCAACACCATTGTGGTGCTCCTGGATGGATGGATGGATGGATGGATTCAAGCTGCTGGTTACCCTCTACTACTCTTCATGGCATGGAATCAGGTTACCTGTGGGACCATCTATCCCAGGACCCAAGTCACCCATCACCCATAATATCTCTATGTTGCCACCTCAGATTCTTCCTATGAGCAATTTGGTCAGCAAAATGAGTGGAGAACCCATCGCAGCAGCCTCAAAGGACGCCACCCCTCTTGTCCTTTCCTAAATGGTTACTCTCCTCCTGTCAAGCATACGAAATCAGGAGTCCAGGCAGTTCAAATAAATATAGGTTTATGACACGCTAAAGCTTTCTAGAAGAATCTGAACTACTAACGGTCAAAGCAAGTAGGCGGCAGATAAGAGTCAAGGGAATTCCTCCAGAATTGAGTGGAAACATGCAAGAGATAGAAATAGAAACAAACTTGTGGGCCGATCACAATCCAATCAAAATTAGTTGGAAGGGACAAAGGAGGAAAGTAAGATGGACTTTAAATCAATCTATAACAAGAAGATTTATACAGATGATGGAAAGAGAAATGGGGTTCTTCTTTAAAGAGAATAGAAAAGAGGAGACCTCGTTACTGAATGTGTGGGATACAGCAAAAGCGTTTATTAGAGGACTAGCCATAACTTATATAGCAAAGAAAAGTAAGAAAAAAACAGTATCAAAAGATTTTGGAAGAAGAATATAAAGGACTTGAAACAGACTTACAAAAGGAACCACACAAGATAGGCTTAAGAAACCAAATGGAGCTGATCAAACATAAGCTAAATATTATGGGAAAAGACAAATTGGCACAACAAATAAAAAGAACAAAGCAAAACGTTTTTGAAAATGCTAATAAACCAACCTGAAGATGGTTAGCCTACAGACTGAAGAAAGAAAAAGAGAAGACATGGATAAGTAAATTGCAGGATGAGGAAGAGTCAAGGGAATTCAAAGTGGGCTGGACTTCGATCTCTTGTGAGCACAAAGGGACTCAAGGCTAATGATGCGCTTGACCCCTCCCCTCGGGCATAGCCTCCTTAGACAGGGCCACTGGGTGACAGAGAGCCTTCCCAGCCAGTTCTCCATCCCTCCTACCACTAAGCCAAGGACGTGAAGAGTTTTGACTCAGGAGCCTTTGACAACTGTTGGCATCAACTGCATTTGTCTCCCAGCACCTTCACCCTGAAGTTCATGGCTCCCTCGAGAGTGAAAACGCTCACCTTGTCGAAGCAGATGAGATTCAGCTGGCCACATACATTGATCCTCTGGGGGCTGATGCAGAAAATCCCCTTTTTCTTCAACCGCCTCTGGGTGTAGATGATCCCTGTGGTCAGTGCAGCCGGCAGAGCTGGAGGCACCGCGATGGTGATGACATCCAGGGCTTTCTTCACCACCTCTCCTGCCTCTTGCTAACGGACACACGGAAGGAAGGAAGGAAGGAAGGAAGGAGGGCAGCAGTCAGCAAGAACAGGCAGGGAAGCCATGCCAAGATGCCAACGAATGCGGGTGCTCCACCAGCTCTTATCCTCATGCCAGGAAAATCCTTGGCAAGAAGGTTTTCCAAAATGTCAGCTTCCCAGGAAGACCAAGGAGGCAACCAGCTGCCTTCCAGATGTTTTGGACTTTCACTCTCATCAGCCCAAGCCAGCATGGCCAATAGTATGTGATTGTGGGAATGGTCATTTAAAAGGGTCACAGGTGATTGGCTGAGGGAGCCAAAAACTGATGGACCCAATCAATGTCATCCTTCACATACTAGAATCAGGATGGATTCTTTCTTTCCTTCCTTCCTTCCTTCCTTCCTTCCTTCCTTCCTTCCTTCCTTTGGGTTGATTCTTGGCAATTTTTTTTTTTAATTTGATTTATATGCCGCCCTTCTCTGGAGACTCAGGGCGGCTTACAGTGCGTTCAGCAATAGCCTTCATACTTTTGTATATTTATACAAAGTCAGCTTATTGCCCCCACAAACTGGGTCCTCATTTAACCTACCTTAGAAAGGATGGAAGGCTGAGTCGACCTTGAGCCTTGGAGAGATTCGAACCAGCAGTAAATTGCAGGCAGCTGTGTTAATAACAGGGTGCTTTAAACCACTGTAGTACCAAGGCTCTAACCAGCCCAGCAATTTTCTTGGCAAATTTGAAAGTGGAACACAATTCTGGGTAGCTAATAACAATAGTAAAATCAGTAATAAAAATAATGGGAAAAAATTGAGATGAATCAGGCACCTTACACCCATTCATCTGTATCAACTTTGGGGGTGGGGGGGAGGCAGTTTTTGATGGCTTTCCAGAAGATTAAGAGGGCCTACCAGATCTCAAAGGGGAAACTGCTCCAGAGGGCAGGGGCTGCTATGGAAAGGGCACCCTTCCCAGATCCCACTAGATGGCAACATTTAAGGGAAGGGGTCTGCAGTGCGTCCTCTTCACCCAATCTGGTGGATAGATCTTAGCCTTAATCCTTCTAAACCAGGAGGTCTCCAACCTTGGCCACTTTAAGACTTGCGGGCTTGAATTCCGGGGCCAGCTGGGGAATTCCCGGAGTTGAAGTCCACAAGCCTTAAAGTTGCCAAGATTGGAGTCCCCTGATCTATACTAAAAGCTATGAGATAATTATAGCCCTTATGGATTCTGAACTGTTGGTTGAACCATAGATTTGTATGTAGAGCCACCAGCAGGGCTAACTGAGCAAGGAAGGAGCCTCCATATTTGCGCCCCCCCCCAGAAGCCCCTGGGCAGCCTCTGCCCTTCCCCCACTGCTCACCCCATTGATTACAAAGACACAGATTGTGTAGATCATCCCGATGCCAGCCACCACCACGAGACACAGGAGAAACTGCATGGCATCCCTGTAGAGGCGGAAGTTCATCGGCTTGGGATACAGGATGGATCTCACCAGGTCTCCCTTGGCTGTGTTGAAACCTGAGATGGTGAAGAAGAGAGAGGAGCAGTGATCCTTAGAGGCCTCCTAAGGCTGGGAGGTGAGGGAAGGCAGGTTGGGCTTACATGTTTATTGCTCACTTCCTGAAGAGTCTAGGGTGGAGGCAAGGTGGAGGAAGAGGAAGGCAGCACACCAGAGTCCAGACTGAAGGACAGAGACTGCCCACCCTACCTGGATCAGGATGAGCATGAATGGGAAGGTGGTTTCTGGAGGTGGTGGACACGACTCATAGCTACCTCATGAGTTTGAATCATCCTGAGCCACCGGAGGGCCCTCTGTGTATCTGTGACTGAAACCCAGTTCAGAAGACCCTTGGAGGAGATCTGGACATCCAGAGGGAGACACTGACTGGTCCTCTCCCCACCCCATCCTGACCACAAGGATGCCAGAATCAGGCAGTTTAATGAAGGGGTGGGGACCCCTTCCAGAAGAGTCCAGGTTTGGGGGAGAGGGGAAGATCCACTTTCCACTGTCCAGCTTACACCGTTCACACAATACAAGATGCCTGTTCACCCACCGGTCCGCAGCACGACGGCCCTTGCTGGTCCTCCATCACCTCCCCTGGCCTGGATAACGTCTGTCCCACAGAACAGAAGGTGCCTCTTGCTGTCCTCGGAGGAGCTGAGATGCCACGGCTCGCTGCTCTTACAGTCACGGGGCAGACTGGTCTTGGTGACGGGAAGGCTTTCCCCTGGAGGAGGCAGGAAAGGGAGACTCAGCCCTGCCCCCCCCCATGGCTCCCCAGACAGACGGGTGAAGGATGAGCTGCTCTTTGTGGGCATGCCTCCAGCTCCCACAACGTCTAGAGGCAACTTCTGTTCCACTGGATAATTTTGCAGAGGCTTTTAGCAATAAATCACTTTAACTGAACCTTCATTTGTGGGCCTGACAATTCCACACAATATTACGCACACAGAGCTACAACCACTATTTTGCAAGCTTTATGTGCATGAAATATAAGATGATTCAAAATGTTCCCAGAAGCGTTCAGGCTTCCTTGGGTTTCATCTGCAGGGCCTGGGAGATTTCCGTGACTCCTGTCGGCACCCCCACCTCGCCCTCCCCTGGATTCTAACCAAGCACGCTGCATGTTGCTGCCGTGAAGGGAGTGGGGGTGTAATGCCTCCTACGGAGCCAGACGTCTCCCCACCACCAAATTGAGGAGCTGCTCCATCCCTGTGTGCTGAGACTTTGGTCCAAGCAATGGGAGAGACCGTCACCCCGCTTACCAGTCAGCATGCCTTCATTCACGATGCACTGGCCGCTGAGCAGGAGGGCATCGCAGGGCAGCAGGCTTCTGCCCTCGTCCAGGATCAGGGTGTCTCCGGGCACCAGATGGCGGGATTCCACCTCCTGGGTGCCTGTCGGAAAAGAGAACCTTTGAGGGGTGATTCTGAGGTATTTCTCTGGGGGTCTCTATTTCGGGTCTCTGGGGGGCCGGCTCCCCAAGGAAGGCCCTGCTTCGCCTCCTTCGCCTGCTCTACCCGTCTGTGGCCCCCTTCTAGCTGGACAGCTTAGCTCCTGCCTTTGGGGGGGTGCTGCTCCTCAGGCAAGAATGGGGGCCCCCGGAGCTGCTTCCTCTCCCAGGCAGGCCCCTCGCCCACAGCTCTGTAGCCGCTGAGAGGTCTCGCAAGTTCTGGCCCCATTTTTATGTTATATGCTATGGATAGATGACAAATGTGATATATAGTATATTAGAATACATCATGAGTATAGTGAGCCTACAGTACCTTTTCGTGAACCCACCGGGAATCTCCCATTGCTGGAATGTGTGTATGAGTGAATTATTGCTGAGGATACAAGAGGAAGATTAGTGGGTGCGCAAGGAATGCTGTGGATGGCATTTTTCACGGAGTCATGGAGCAGGGAGTGAGAATGTGGACTTCCTGAGGTGCCTGGGGCAAGATGTGCCCAGTGCTGGGATTCAAGTAATTTAACAACCAGTTCTCTGCCCTTATGATTTCTTCCAACATCCAGTTTGCCAAACTGCTCAGAAAGTTAACAACCAGCTCTCCCGAAGTGGTGCGAACTGGCTGAATCCCACCACTGGATGTGCCCCATTCATGTGAATTCAGAGTAACCAAGGTGGGTATAAAGAGAAGACTGGAAGGAACCCAGATCCCCAAAGAGTGAGACGACTCTTGTCAGAGCAGGGGATGCCCCGAGTCTGCTTCCCAGCTCACTATAACGCAGCCTGATCACCTGAGAGTGTAGGAGAGCATTGCGTGAATGTGTAGCTGTCAACTGTCCCACTGGAATATGCAGAAAAATAAACTCCTGGGACATAACTTTACCAAGAGAGTAACTTTACTATGGATCCAAAGGGGCACAGAAGAAGCAAAGCCAATTCTAAAGGTTCCCACAGAAAGCAGCATAAATAAATTCCCCTTTTCCCCATTAGCCCCCCCCCATCCATTGCCCACCAATCCAACGCATTCTTTGTGTTTTGAGAAACAGCCTGTGCTGTTGGAAAAGTTCTCATAACATGACCTTGAAGTGTAGGAACTTTCTCAGGCTTAGCCAGATGGCTTGGATCCCTCAGCCCAACCCCCAACTCCCCCAGGAATTCCACCCCCTCCCTTCCTTTTCTGTTGTCAAGCTGAGAGGAAAATTACAGGTGAGAATCCAAGTCTAGCTGGGCAACGATACTAGAGCAATTTGAGTAGCCTTGTTGGTTATACTTTCTTAATAGCCTAGTTGGGCATAGCAATAGCACTTATATACCGCTTTACAATGCTTTACACTGCTCTCTAAGCAGAGTCAACCTCTTGACCCCAACGATTTAGATCCTCATTTTACTGACCTCAGAAGAACGGAAGGCTGAGTCAACCTTGAGCCTGATGAGATTCGAACTGCCAAATTGCAGACAGCCGGCAGTCAGCAGAAGTAGCCTGCAGTACTGCTCTCCAACCACTGTGCCACTGAGGCTCTACCGTTGTCACTGCGTTATTTTTGTGTTTGTCAGCTGTGCTTGAATTCTAAGACTTACGGTAGATGCTAGGCACCTTATCTCTAAGCTACTGTGCATGTCCACATTCTTTCTTCACTTTTCCTTCTTCTAACTTTCTTTGTTCGTCTGCTAGAACTTCTGCCGGCAAGGCAGGGAAGTTTGCCAAGATGTAATTAATAGCTAGTAAGATTGTTTTTTACTTCTTTATAATAAAATGTGTTTTATTAGAATGTATCTCGGGTTTATTGTCTTAAAGTATACTTCAAGGAAAAGCCACGGTCCGTCTCTAATTAAGTGCAATTACCCCAAAAGGGGAACGGGATTAATTGCCACCCTGACACGTGGTAGCAGAGGATGGTTCGGATTGATTTATGGCTTTTTCCTTGCTTCTTACTTTGATGATAAGCATCTAGGCTAATTTAGACAGATGATTATTTTAGCAGTTCACTGAACTGGTAGTAATTACCCCTCCTTGGTCCCATCCACGCCCGGCCGGTCGCCGCTCACCTCTTCCAGCCCCTTGATATTCCAGAGAATTCAATGTTAAATGCAGCAGAGAGAATGCTAACTTTTCTCCCTCCATTCAGAACGGAGCTGCTGTAGCCTGTCCCTTTAAGGTAGTCCCCAGGAGGGAGGGGGCCGGGAGGGAACCATAAAGGGAACAGCAGCTCCATTCTGAATGGAGGGAGAAAAGTTAGCATTCTCTCTGCCACAGAATTCAATGTTAAATGCAGCAGAGAGAATGCTAACTTTTCTCCCTCCATTCACAACTGTCCCTTTAAGGTAGTCCCCAGGAGGGGAGGGGAGCAGCTTTCCTGCCTGTCATCCATTCCTCAATCTCAGCACAGACTGAGGGAAGGATGGTAGGCAGGAATATTCCCCTCCCCATTTTCCTGCCATTCGTGACAAGGAGTAGCTGGGAGGGGAGGGGCCGGTGAGGAGCCCCTTGATGTGAGTGATGTCAAGTTGGCCACGCTCACCCAGTCACATGACCTCCTGCCAACAAGCCACACCCACAGAACCAGTAGGGGAATTTTTTTAATTTCACCCGATACCGTCCCTGTCCTAATGTTTCTTCTATTTGTATCTATTTTATGTATCCAATCCATGCTTATACTTATTACCAAATATGTTCTTGACAAATAAACAAACAAACAAACAAATAAACAAATAAAATGTATAAATATAAAGGAACTAGTTAAGCTTAATTGCATATTAGCCTTGCCTTTTGTCTAAATAACGCAAGAATAAAAGAACTATTGGAAAACTCTATTTGGAGTGGCTTGAACTCAGTTTGTAACATCCTCAGGGCTCTCTCTCATCCCTGGCTCAGACACAGACAAAACGAACGACGGAGATCTCTTTGGCTGCCTTACCTGTCTGTTTCCTGAACACCTTGACCAGGACACTGTTATGGGATTCCGCCAGCTGGTGCAACTTCACAGATTGCTGTGTTAGGAGGAAAGGGAGAATCAGATCAGGGAAGAGAGGGACAGGGGGACATGCCAACCAGTGGGCAGATAGGTAAGGCCTCTGCCAGCTGGCTAGGAAGGTGCCAGCAGCTAACATGCAATGGTCTACTGGAATATCCTGAAGAGATCAGAGGGGGAAGAGGTGCCAGGGTGATGGCCAGATAAGAGACACCCCACAGAAGGAATGGGGTATGGGAAGCATCTCCAAAGGGATCTTCCCTAGTTCCTGGAAAATAAAGGCAAGAAAGGAGAAGGAAGGGGTGAGAGGAGGAAGAAGGAGGAAGGAGGAGGAGTTTATAGTTTATAGTTAGTTATAGTTTAATGGATTTCTATACTGCCCTTCTCCCAGGGGACTCAGGGCAGTGTACAGCCACATTAAAACACATGAATTTATAAAATTTAAAACCAATTAAAACAAATATATACAATTTGGCCCTCAAATTAAAACACACATACACCCACTTAAAATTCATATTAGGCCAGTCCGGCTTGCTGAAACAGGAAGGTCTTTAGGGCACAGCGAAAAGTACGCAGGTCGGGGCTAAGACGAAGCTCTAGGGGCAGCTCATTCCAAAGGGCTGGTGCCCCCACAGAGAAGGCTGTCCCCCTGGGTGTCGCCAGTCGGCATTGTTTGGCCGACGGCACCCTGAGGAGCCCCTCTCTATGGGAGCGTATTGGCCGGTGGGAGGTTGTTGATGGCAGAAGGCGGTCTCGTATGTATCCCGGTCCTAAGCCATGGAGCGCTTCAAAGGTGGTGACCAACACCTTGAATCGCACTTGGAAGACCACCAGGAGCCAGTGCAGCTCGCGCAGGAGGGGTGTTACATGGGCGCGCCGAGTCGCACCCATAACCACCCGCGCGACCGCATTCTGGACCAGCTGGAGCCTCCGAGTGCTCTTCAAAGGGAGCCCCATGTAGAGAGCGTTGCAGAAGGAGAAGGAGAAGGAACTGGCATTCAACCTTCAGGTCTGGTGAAGTTCACAATTCCTTCTTGTCTTCTTCCAGGATCACTTGTGCTACTCCAACTTTTAGAATTTCTGGGTCTACTCACAATTTGTCCTTTGGAGCAATTTTGTTGAACCCAGGTCACCTCCTGTTCCTAGTAGGCCACCTAGAAATTCTCCACAAATGTTGGGAGACTCCTGAAGCAGCTGGCAAAATTCATCCAGATCCAGGAAGCACCTGAGGGGCAGCCCAAGGATCCAACTTAGCAGATGCTCCATGAATTTGAGCTCTTGTAGGGCTGAGCGAATCCTGGGTGGCCGCATGAGGAGAGGGCTTTCCAGGAAGATGAGACAGAACCTCTTGGGCAGCAATTGAGGAATGAACCAATCAGCTCCTCCTCAATGCCTAAGAATGCTGATGAGAAGACGTTTTTGGTGAACAGGGAAGGACAGGTAGGCTCACCTTTCTGAGATCATACACAGTGAGTGAAATGGAAAGGAGGGACATGATGATTATGGCCACAGCATACTCAATGTAATTCTCTGCAAACCACAGGCAGACACTGAAGGCTTGGAAGATGTAAAATGGGTGCAGCACCTGGGGAAGAAAAAAAGACACCAAGTGGTTAGGTTAGGTCACCACGATACAAAAAAAAAAAGAGGCTGAGACCCTAGAAATCCTGCAGAGAAGAGCAACAAAGAAGATTGGGGAACTGGAGACTAAAACATACAAAGAACAGTTCCAGAAACTGGATGTGTCTAGTCTAGTGAAAAGGAGGACTAGGGGAGACATGATAGCACTCTTCCAATATTTAGGGGCTGCCACAAAGAAGAGGGGGGTCTATTCTCCAAAGGACCAGAAGGCAAGACAAGAAGCAAAGGATGGAAACTAATCAAAGAGAGAAGCAACCTAGAACTAGGGAGAAATTTCCTCACAGTGAGAAGAATCAACCAGTGGAACTGCTTGCCACCAGAAGTTGTGAACATAACCAGAAAACTCCCTGAGAAGTCAGGAACCTAATAGCCTAGAGCAACCATACAAACCAGATCTGAACTTTTTAACATGTCAGGAGCAAAGTTGCTGAAGACAACAGTCAAATAAACCCTTGGAGATGAGCCAGAAGGCATCTGTGCTGGAGAAAACCTGCAGGGTGCAATCTCTAAAACCACAAGAGGAGAAAAACGCTGCTGGTGGGAAGATTTCAGAAGGCCTCCCCTGTGGGAGTTCTAGGAGGCCTTCAGTACCTCCTGTACCAAAAAGGAGGCTGGGGAGGAGGAGATGGACAACGTGTTGCCAGGTGGGACAGTGGACAAACCAAGACTCAAAGGAGGAACCAGCTACAATTATTTTCTGCTATCTGAAGATGATCCACAAAGCGCAGATGCACAGAACCACCAAAGAATGACTAAGCTGCAACTAAAAGCAACTAAGATGATCAAAGGCTAAAACATATGAAGAACGGTTGGAGGATTTGGGTTTGGCCACTCTAGAGAAAAGAAGAATTAGGGGTGACATGATAGCAGCATTACAGTATTTGAGGGGCTGCCACAAAGAAGAGAGGGTCAAGCTATTCTCCAAAGCACCAGAAGGCAGGACAAGAAACAATGGTTGGAAACTAACCAAGGAGAGAAGCAACCTGGAATTAAGGAGAAATTTCCTGACAGTGAGGATAATTAACCAGGGGAATAGCTTTTGCCTTCAGAAGTTGTGGGAGCTTCATCACTGGAGTTTGTTTCCTGATTGTTTATTTGTAACCTATGACTATCATTAAGTGTTGTACCTTATAATTCTTGATGAACGTATCTTTTATTTTATGTACACCGAGAGCGTATGCACCAAGACAAGTTCCTTGTGTGTCCAATCACACTTGGCCAATAAAGATTCTATTCTATTCTATTAAGAAGAGAAGATCAAAAAACTGGTTTAATGTTGCATGAAGAAGAATTGGTAAGACAGATAAAAGAGAAAGGCCCAATGCATATCAAGAGGGTTTATAATGTTTTGTTAGAAAGAGATTCAGAAACTGAATTGGTTAAAGATTGTATGATTAAATGGGCGCAAAACTTTGCAGAACCAGTTATGATGGAAACGTGGGAAAAAATATGGGTTCAGAATGTTAAATTTACGCAGTCACAGAATTTGAGGGAAAATTTTTACAAAATGTTTTATAGGTAGCATCTAGATCCTAAGAAATTGTCGTGCATGTATCCTAATGTTCAACCAAAATGTTGGAAATGTGATTGTTTAGATGCTACATATATGGTGGACTTGCAAGAAAGTGAAGGCTTTCTGGATAAAAATTTGGTGGGTTATGCAAAATGTTTTGAAGAAAAAACTCCAATTTTCTCCTCAATTGTTTTTATTGGGCATAGTTAAGGACTTTTCAATGGGTGAAACAAAATTGATATTGTACATGGTGAGAGCAGCTAGGCTACTGATTGGTCAATATTGGAAAAGGGATGTTATGCCTACTACTGAAGAATGGACTTTGAAGGTGGCCAGTTTTGCAGAAATGGCGAAGATATCAGCATACTTAAAAGACCGGACTCAAGAGACCTATGCATGGGAGTGGAAGAAATGGATAGATTATGTGCAGAATAAATATCAAACTACGAAGTACCAGATAGCTTTTAGTTGAACGTTGTGTAGAAATGTATAGTATATAGGGGGTAGAATAGTTCAATGTCATCTAGAAATGTATAGTACACAGGGGGTAGAATAGATGTGCGGTAAAGTATGATGATATAATATGACTTGGATTTGGATTTCACCTTGGGGAAGTCATGGGAGGAGGGGAGGGCTAGGGAGGGTTAGGGAGGGAAAGGGGGGGGGAATGGGAAAATTTGTACTTGTAAAACTTTTTCAATAAAAGAAGAGACTGGACAGCCATTTGTCTTTAAATTGTATTGGCTCTCTTGCTTGAGCAGGGGGCTGGACTAGAAGACCTCCAAGGCCCCTTCCAGTTCTATTCTATTCAGATGCAGAAGGCGAAAGAGCTACTTTTTGTGGGGGGGTGAAAGGGAAGCCCAGGACACCCACTCTCTGCCTTGACCCACAGAATGTGCCAGAGAAGCCAATCCACAGAAAGGAAAGTACCTCCTTGACCAACAGCTTCCAGATCGGCGTGACTTCGATGTCGATGGTGTTGGGGCCACAGATTTCCCTCCTGAGGATATGGAAGGGAGAGAGATGAGCTCGGGATCCCCCTCCAAGGCCAACACTAGAGCCATTCCAGAGTCTGCAGGTGGCCTGAGTGAGTGGCCATTCACGGAGCCCTGGTCCTTCGAACAGGAGACCCTGAAGTCGCCTAACAGCTCCTCCCAATGGGTGGAGTTGGCTTGGGGTAGCTTCTGCTGTCAGGGGTGCAGCTACTTTTGTCTCCTGAAGCAGAGCCTGTCCTTGGAAGACCTGGAGGACATCATCAGGTCCTTCCCAAAATTAGAACTGGCCCCCAGGGAGCTGCCCCATCACTTCCTTTATCCACCTGTGTTTTTATATCCCAGCTCCTACCCAAAATGCTGCTCCAGGAGCTGTCAGCAGGTGACACCTCAAGCTTGAGGGGTCCTTGGTGCTCTCTGTGCTTGGATGTTTTCTTGCGGACGTTTCAGGACCCAACTAGGTAATATTTTTGGTGAGGTTTCTAGCACTGATAATGTCACTTAGTTGGGTCCTGAAACATCTGCAAGAAAACCTCCAAGCTCAGAGAGCGTCAAGGACCCCTCAGTTCAACCCTGAGCTACAAAGATTCTTTTCTATTGGTGACACCTCAAATTACAACACTTCAATGACAACCTTTAGATTAAAACACATCAACACGAATGAAAAAGTGGAAGAAGCACCCTGGGCTGCTACTACAAACCAGCAGAGCCCTGCAGAGCTGAGCAAGTGGCTCAGCACTGGCAGGAGAGAAGCCCACCACCACCACCACCGTGTCTTGCAGAGGCCTGAGCCTGGGTGGGGAAGCTCTCGACCAGTAAGAGGCCCAGCGGGACAGTATTCCCATACAGAGCAATGGCAGGCACCCCACCTTGTGGGGGAAGGTGGCCTGGTGGATCCCGTGTGCAAAGACGCTCCCAGAGCCCTGAACACCAACAGGGCTTTCTGCCTGATCAGGTGTGCTGGCCCTGCTGAGTGATGAGAATACCTGAGCTCCTGCTGGGGGCTCGTCAGCCCTGCCCCAAACTTGGCATGGATCTCCAGGGAGCTGTAATGGTCCTCCAGGGCTCTGAGGGAAGAGAAGAGGGCCCAGCTGGTGTTAGAGGGCAGTTTTCATTGGCTGCACCTCCTTCCCCGGCGGCTGAAACTGGACTCACCCAACTTTCCGAAACTCCCGAGCAGAGAAGTCCCAGGCGTACCGGATCTTCTGCACCTGGAGGGATCGCACCTGCGGAGCCAAGCAAGGACAGCAGCCACAGTGAGGGGACGGGGGTCCCAGATGCTCTCAGGCCTGAAGCTGGGGGGGAGGGGAGACCACACCAAACTTTAGGCTTAAGGAAGAGGTGAACCAGTTGGGGGAGGGGGCAGCACTGGAGAGCTTGAAGGAGGGGAAGAAAAACTATTACAGGTACTCCCCACTTAATGACCATTCGAAGTTACAACAGACTTGTGGGCATCTGTACTTCAAAAATTAAGTTTTGATGCCCACAGATCATGTGATCCCGTTTGGACACAGGCAGCCTGTTTGCATTTATGGCTGATTGCAACATCCGGTGGTCACATGAATGAGAATTTTGAAGGGGTTTTTTGGTCAGTTTCCACCATTTACTTCTAGTTTCTGGCAGAAAAAAGTCCTCTGGGGAAGAACAGACTTGTTTAACCCAAAAGTGCTTTTCCAAAAGGCAACTGGACTTTCTTTTTGCTTTTTTCCTTGAAAATGTTTCGCTTCTCATCCAAGAAGCTTCTTTTAAAGGCAACCAGACACATTAAAGTCATCGCGTAACCCTGAGAAGCAAAGCAGGGGGTTTCCAGCCGGCAGTGGGGCCTGGTGGGGCAACCTTCTCCAACCTGGCTCCCCACCAAGGAGTGGAATACAACTGCCTCCCCCTCTGAACCAGTATGCCTGTGGATTATGGGAGCTGGGGGCTTCGAGGGAGAGTGTCTGGTGAATTTCTGCCCTGCTTGCTGTGCCAGGACAGGAGACGTGTCCTGGTTTCACCTCCCAGCAGCTCATGAGAGAAGCCTGGCAATGCCCCCCTCGCTCGGCTGAGCCTGGTAAGAGGAGTAAAGGCTTGGCACTGGCCAGCTCCAGCCTTTTTGTGCTGGACCTGAAGGGCAGGACCACTAGCAGTTCTCCAAGCCAGGAGGATCTTTGTCTCTGCTCGTCCCATCCTTCTGTCCTTCTTGAAGGCTCCTAGAGCCCCATGAGATGATGGGAATCCCTGTTTACCTTGAACCCGGGTTTCTCGGTGACCCTGTTCAGGAGCGACTCCTGGTCATCCATGGCAAGAGAGCTGGGCTTCATGTGGGCAGGCAGAGGGATCCAGGTCACCTTTTTCCGGGTGCAAATCTGAAATTCATCCTGAGGAAACAGAACAGACATGGAGGACCACAACGCAGGTTAGGAAGGGAGGAGAAACCACCCTGGAGCCCTCAAGCCAGGCCCTTTTCTGAGACCACGTGGAGTGGCCCCTCCCTGCCAGGTGCACCAGAAGGTTGCTTGTAGTTGGTCCCAGGGTCAGCTTGCAGACCAGCAGCCATCCACCCTCCTGCCCACCTGAGCATCTTCTTCGCAGGAGCCCCTTCTGGGTTGGCATCAGTAGTGGGTCCCACTTACCTTCCCTACTGGTTCGGAACTGTGAGCGTGCGCGCCCGGTGCTTCTGCCCATATGCAGAACCCTCTGCACGTGCACAGAGTGTCCGTGATGACATCCGAGCCTCCTGACCAGGGGTGGGTTTCATTTACCTTTGCTACCGGTTCGCTCGCGCATGCACAAATCGCATTTGATGACGGCTGGGTGGCTGGGCGGAGCCTCCCGCCGCCACTGCTACCAGTTTGCCTGAGCCGGGGTGAACCGGTAGCAACCCACCACTGATCCTGCTGCCACCACTACCAGTAGAAACCCACCACTGGTTGGCATTAATGCCCCTCTCGATCAGGGCCTCCCAAAACCGGCAATTTTAAGACTTGTTCTGGGAGTCTTAAAGATGCCAAGTTTGGGGACCTCTGTCTAGGACAGCGCTTCCCACCCACTATGGGTGGCTGGGTATTCTGAGAGTTGAAGTCCACACATCTTAAAACGGAGACGGTTGGGGGAACCCTGTTCCAGGATTTTAACTCAAGATTGCGATGAAACTCTCCCTGTCCAAAATCTAATGCTAATACACAAACGATCATGGCTCTCGATCCTTCAGTTCTTTTAAGTTCTATCTTTCTATCCAACTGGTCCCATTTTTGCTGGAAACCCTCCATGGGGTCTGTCCTGGTCAGCCCACCATGGTTCAAAGCAGGCAACGATGGTTGATTCAGGTGAGGAGAGGAGACTGAATCGAGAACAAAGGAGATTCCAGATTAAAAGCGAGATCCACCCAGTCTTCAAAACCCCAATAATTTTTCAGGAATGCAAAACTGCAATTCCTTCCTCTGCTTTTCTTTCATTCCTCACCCTCTTTGGCAGTTAAGCATGATTGGCACGGATGGTGTTACCTACTTTGGGTAATGAAACGTCTGCAAGGAAACAATCACGCTCAGAGAGCACCAAAGACCCCTCAGTGTACCCACCCACCCCCACCAAGCTACAAATATTCTCCTTTGGAGAGCAAGCTCCCATGAGAAGGGAGGGGGGCACCTACCGTGGTCCTGAGCAGCACCACATCAGCCTCTTCCAAGCTGCAGGGCTGGCAGTTGGCCCAGACATCCCACTCGGGTTTCCAGTGGAAGAGAAGCAGGAGGCCCCCGCAGGACAGGACGTAGCCAGCCAGGCACAGGGCCCTCCGGAAGCCCCGGGTCTTGTAGCCCAAGATCTCCTGGAAAGAAAAACTGCATGAAGGGAGCCCTTCCCACTCAGTCAGCGTCAAGGCTCAGTCCCACCGTAGTAAAAACTCATCTTGTGGCTGTTCTCGAAGTAACAGTAACAGAGTTGGAAGGGACCTTGGAGGTCATCTAGTCCAACCCCCTCTGCTCACGCAGGAGACCTATACGAGGGATTCGAACCGCTGACCTTTCTGATCGACAAGATCAGCATCTTAGCCACTGAGCCACTTAGAGACAGACAGTCAAGACAGTCAACCTGCAGGAGGAGAGATGGCAGAACTTGGGGGTAGAGTGAAAAGGGGGAAATCAGCCTAGAATCTCTACATGGCCACAGGTGACACATGGCAGATCTCAGATCCAATGTTGGCATCCTCAAGTCAGATGGAAACGGGGCTGCTGCCCAAGTCTCAGAAGCTCCTGCTGCTTCCTGGGGGAAGAAGGTCTGGCTCTGGACCTACAGGCAGGCATCTGTCAAGCACCACATCAGGAAGAGCAGAAGGTGGACGAGGAGGACTGTCAGGTCCTTGGTGCTCTCTGAGCTTGACCGTTTCCTTGCAGATGTTTCATGACCGAACTAGGTAACATCATCAGTGCTGGAAGGGAGGAGGAGGAGGAAGGGTCTCCCTATCAATCGAGGAAGTACCTATGATGCTTCCTCTCAGAAGAAGACTGCAACCTCTGCTGGATGGAGGAGATGGTGATCCATCTGTAGAAACTCATTGCTTACTTTTAAGCTAAAACTCTTTTGCTGATTCCCCCCAACAAGAGATGAACAGGAAATCCATTCCCTGGAAATCCATTCAGGCAGCGTCCAACAGAGGCAGGGAGCAAATAGATTTTCGAGTGGACAAAGTGAGTTTGGGCTCAGGCTGCTTGCGTGGATGGGATCCCTTGTTTGGAGACCCCTCAGGGCTGGTCCTCCAGGCCCACTTCAGCCTCTTTCCCCTGACCTGCATCTGGCCAAATTCCTTGGCCGGCCTCCAAGCCACAAGTAGGATGCCTCCAAAATGAACCAAGCTCTGCTTTGGGCACAAGGACTTTTGACAGCCAGGTGCCTGAAGTGCAGAGGAGGGATTTAAGGGAAGCTAACAAGGTGCTTTTGAATTCACGAGAATCACTGCGGTTCGTTTCAGGACTGTTTTGCTTACATTTCCAGGAGATCAGATGCCGGGTTGGTTCCTGGACTCCATCAAACCAGCCAATTCCATCCGGTTTAGGGAAGGGAAACTTTGGGCAAAGCGAGAGGCCTCTTGCCTTTAGTCCTCAAATTACAACCACAATTGAGCCCCAAATTTATGTTGTTAAGCGAGACAGTTAAGTGAATTTTGTCCCATTTTATGACATTTCTTGCCACAGTGGTTAAGTGAATCACTGAAAATGTTCAGTTAGTAACACCGTTGTGAAGTGAATCCGGCTTCTCCATTAATTTTGCTTGTCAGAAGGTCACAAAAGGGGACACGGCAGCCATCGTAAACCTGAGTCATTTGATAAACACCCGAAGGTAAATCAGGTGGCCGTGGGGCTGCTGCCATGGTCATCACGCGGAAAACGGTCGTGTCGCTTTTTTCAGTGCTGTTGTAACTTCAAACGGTCACTAAGCAAACTGCCGTTAAGTGGAGGACTTCCTCTACTCTTGTCATCCCAGCTTCCCCCAAGTGGTCTGCTCCGGAAAGGCTGCCCATCCCCTGCCCTCCTCCCTCTCCCAGGCTGCCGTTGGTGCTACTGGCTCTAGGAGGATGGGAACTGAAGGAGCCCCGTGCAGCTCTAAGGAGCCTGGGTGAGGTCTGTGTCAGGAATTTGGCAGCCGCCGTCAGCTGGTCCCATCCCGGTAGATGCCGAAGGTCCCTCCCAGCTGATGCAAGGCAGGGAGTGACTGGTTCTTCCGGGTGGGGCTTCCTTTCTGGATCTCTCCCTGGTTTTTGAACTCTGGGCTTTAATTGTTTTAATCACTGCTGTAATTGCTGGCCCTGTATTTCTTTTAATTGCCTGCTTTTTATTCTGCTTGGGATGGTCGTGACTCTGGCCTATTTTTTGGCAGGCGTCTCTGAAGAACACCCGATCCAAACACTGGCATGGCCTCGGCCTCAGACGCGCAGGGCTGGGCCCTGTCTCCGGCTGCCAAGTGACTAGACCGAGGGTAGCAGAAGGTGGCACATCCTTGCCTGGGGCTTTACCAGGCAGGATCTGCCACCTTCTGCCACCACCATTGGCTCCTGGACTGTGGCCTCTCTCGTCTCAAGCCCTGGCTCCTTCTTGTGGCCACCTGTCCCTTTTTCCTCTCTCTTCTCAACCCCTGGGGTCTGGCCCAAGAGAACGAGGGAGCTGTTCCTGGTTTGCTTTGGAGAAACTCTTCTCCCAAGTCCGGCGATGCCCTCCCCTAAAAATGCGGAAGAGCTCCAAGGCTGGGCCTCTGGTGGAAGAGGAGGCTAAATTAAGACATCCACTGGGGGGAGCGAGCAGCTGGATCCCAGGATCCTTGAATGGGACCTCGTAGGTCCTGGGCCTGCAAGAGATGTCCCAGAGGGTCTTGGGATGGTCCACACCCCGTCTCAGTCTCAAAGAAAGAAGCATTTCAGCAGCAGAGGCTCAGGAGGGAGGATGTTCTGGAAGGGCCTGGGGAGCAGAAGCTGAGGAGCACCCCCCCCCGCCCCATGCCAATGGCCACCCAGGACCCCTTGCCCAACCCTTCAATGGGCTGCTGGGTGTCTGGGCCACAGATGGCCTCAATATCTGGAGCCTCAATATCCCAAGCTGCTCCTGCCTACAATTCTCTCCTGCTCGGCCGCTTCTGTAGCAAAGGTAAGGGAGGGCTGTGAAGCAACGACTGTCAAAGTGGGAAGGGCCAGAAGGGGGCAGGGGAGCCTTCGCGGCTGGGCACCAAGTCCAAACTTCAGCACTGAGAAAACGGCCCTCAGGCAGGGGAGTCCACAGGGAACAGTCAAAGAGGAGGGCTGCAATGATATATGCATTACACCTGTCAATCACACTGTTGCAGCTCTCTTTGGACCATACCCTGTGGAGACCCTCCCTCAAGGCTTCATACCTGCACCTCTGCTGGACACCCCTACTGATGTTATAAGCTGCCCAGAGTCACTTGACAGCAAGATGGGTGGTATATAAAATTAATTAAATTAGTTTCAATTAACTTTAATAAACCTTATCATATATTAATTGAATTAATTTTGACATTTATTATATATTACATTACTTTAATATAAAATTAAATGTGATATTGTGGGTTCTTCTCGTGAAAATGAAAGTTAAATGTGTAACTTTGGAAATGTACCTGTCCTCTGGGGCATGTAGAGACTGGGCGCCTTCGCTACTTGCCGCCCCTCCAGAAAGCCTGCCAGGGAGAGCCGCCTTCTGCCTGCGCTGCCACCCCAACTCCCCCAATCCGGCCGGGGGCCCCAAAGAACCCGTGCGCCGCTTCCGAAGGGCTGCGGATCGGGCTGCCTCCTGGCCAGAGAGGCGGCGAGGCGAGCGAGAGGCTGGCGCAGGGCTTCGTCCGGGGAAGTTCGGCTGAGCGCGGGGCTTCCAGAGGACGCCGACCGAGCCTTCTGCCTTGCAACTGTTTCCGCAGAGGGCCTGTCCGGCGAAAGAGGCCGGAGGAAGCCCCCCTCCCACCTGCCCCGCGGAGCCCCCGACCGTCCGCCGGGGCTCTGCTCCAGGTACACAAGAGGCGGGCTGCTCGCCCCGGGGGGAGCGGCGGGAGGGGCGCTGGCAGGAGAGGTTGGTGGGGAGGGGGAGCAGAGGGGGAGACCGCGGCCGGGATGGGGAGGCGGAAAGCGCCTCTGAGCGCGGACTCCCGCAAAGGCAGCCGCCGAAGACTGGCCGGGGAAGCTGCGCTGGCAGCCTCTCCACTCCCGCAGGGACTCCGACGGGCAGCGGCCGCTGACGGGCTCCCAGGGTTCTTCCCGTGGCGGCGGAGGGCGGGGTTAGCTCGGGGCAACTTCTTGAGTGCAGGTGGTGATGAATGTCACATCGGAGGGGAAGCAACGATGACCTTTTGTGCAATAAAGCCAGGGAAGACCACCCTGATCGGCGTCTGGGCCATTCCCAGAAGACAGCCCCCTCCCAGTCAGAGTTGCCTCATGGCAGGTGACTGCCAAGGTCCGCAGAGGGCTTGATGGTAGTGCGGAGAGCAGCAGTCGGACCCTCAGCAAAAGAGCCCCTTTCCTTGGAGAGGGTTTCCCTCCCTTCTGCCAGTCCCCCCCCCACTCTGCCCCCATTGCCAGAGCTTCTGGAGGCTGCTCAGATGGCACTTTGGGGCAGCCCTGCAGGAACAGCTCTCCTTCAGGGCAAGAGGCTGCCTCCCAGGCAACAGTGGAGGGGAAGAAAGGGGCATGTGGGACAGACTCACCATTTCAGCTTCCTCTCCCTCACTGAGCAGGGCCCGGTGGCTCCCGCCATGCTTCTCCCCCATGGCCAGCGGTCCCAGTGGGTCTCTGGAGGTTCCCCCAAGCCTGCCAGCCCAACAGCCCTTCCTGGGCCGGCAGGGATGTTGCAGTTTATATACCAGGCTGACCTGCAGGGCCACACCTTCCTCCTGCAAGGCTCCTGCTGCGGAGGGGCAGCTCCTCCCTGGAGCTCCAGGTGAAAACACCTTTCCTCACCCTCCTTTCTCCAGCACCAAAGAGACCGGGCTCCCTTCCGATGGGGCCACTCGAGAGAGCAGCGGTTCCACGTGCCCAGGCAGGTCCCAGGCCCGGCAAAGGGGAGGGCTGCCTGCAGAAATTAGGAGGTGTATGGGGGGGCGGTTGTCTCCCGACAAGGCAGGTATTGTGTGACTGCCACCAGGTGGGCCCCTGGTTGTGGGAAAGAGGCCATTTGGAGCGGAGGAGGCCTGGAGGTGCTTCCTCGCCCCCTCACCTTTTCGTGTCCCAAAGAGGGCCTCCCCCAAATCCTTCACTCTTCCGCTTTGCATCCTGGAAGGACGGAGGAAATTCTGTGGAGAGGACAAGCTTAAAGAAAGAACTTGTGGATCCATGGCCTGTGATTCATGGCAAAATAAATGTTTCTGTTTTCTGAAAATGCTGAACTATTTTCTGGCTCTTTGGAACTCACTGGGCCCTTTTTCAGAGAAATTCCACCGCAAATTGAGCTGGGCTCCCGGGACACCACGGAAAGGTCCCCAGAAAGCTGGAGTTGCTGCAACCAGAAGCTCCTTTCCCCGAGAACCAGGCAGAAGCAGCAGGTGACCGGAATGAGCACCTCTCGGCTGGTTCCGCTGCAGACGCTCAGCTGGATCGCTGAGGGTCCTTCTGGTCATAAGCAGGTGGAGTGGAGAGGGGCCCCGGCTGTCCCCAACAGTGGCTCTCTGCCTGCCACCCAAGTGCCAGCGGCGCTGCCCAAACGACGTGCCTTTTCTCCCTGGTCTCCTTAATGGAGCCATTCCTTTTAACATTAAACCATCCATTTTAACAGCCTAAAACTCAGCAAAGCAACCCTTTCCTCCTCCTCCTTCTTAGGTAGAGGGAGCCACCCAGGGATGAGGCCTTCTGGGCCTGCAACTAACACTGGAGGCTCCCCTTAAAGGAGGGGCGCTTCATAGATAAAGCAACACAGCCAATCCTGGGCTTTTCTGGGGTTCAGCTTCTCCCTCTGCAGAGCAGGAAACTAGGAAGGGCAGCAGATGCTTTGTGTGGAATCCCAATCCAGTGGGATTGGGGGGGTTGTTTACTATTTGTGGGTACCACAAATGCGAACAATCAAACAATGGAACAGCTTGCCTCCAGAAGTTGTGGGTGCTCCATCACTGGAGGTTTTCAAGAGGAGACTGGACAACCACATGTCTGAAATGGTAGAGGATCTCCTGCTTGAGCAGGGGGCTGGACTAGAAGATCTCTGAGGTCCCTTCCAACTCTGTTATTCTAAGTCAGCTCAAGATGCTTTTATGCGGGCCTGGATGGGGAGAAACAGGCTCCGACTCAACCCTTCCAAGACCGAGTGGCTGTGGCTTCCGGCGTCCCGATATAGCCAGCTGGTGCCATCGCTGGCTATTGGGGGCGAATCACGGCCCCCACAGAGAAGGCTCGCAACTTGGGCGTCCTCCTGGATCCACGGCTGTCTTTAGAAGAGCACATGAAGGCCGTGGCCAGGGGGGCTTTTTATCAGGTTCGCCTGATACGCCAGTTGCGCCCCTTTCTGGATCGGGACTCCCTACGCACAGTCACTCATGCCCTCGTCACTTCCCGCCTGGACTACTGTAACGCTCTCTACATGGGGCTCCCCTTGGGGTGCACCCGAAGGCTCCAGTTGGTCCAGAATGCGGCCGCGCAGGGGATTATGGGAGCGACGGGGCGCTCCCATGTGACTCCTCTCCTGCGCGAGCTGCACTGGCTTCCTGTGGTCTTCCGGGTGCGCTTCAAGGTGTTGGTGACCACCTTTAAAGTGCTCCATGGCTTAGGGCCGGGTTATCTGCGAGACCGCCTTCTGCCGCCAATAGCCTCCCACCGACCGGTTCGCTCGCACAGAGTGGGCCTCCTCAGGGTGCCGTCGGCCAGACAGTGTCAGCTGGCGACCCCCAGGGGGAGAGCCTTCTCTGTGGCAGCCCCTGCCCTCTGGAATGACCTGCCCCCTGAGATACGCACGATATCAGACCTCCGGACTTTTCGTCGGGCCCTGAAAACACACCTATTCCATCTAGCTGGGCTGGCTTGATCCCATCCTCTCAGTTTTAATTGAATTTGGTTTTAATTGGGTTGTTTTTAATATCTTGGGCCGAAATTATTTAATTTTTTTTTAAATTGTTTTTAAATTTTATATGCAATGTTTTATCTTGGCTGTACGCCCTGAGTCCCGCAGGAGAAGGGTGGTATAGAAATAAAATAATAATAACAATAACAATAACAATAACAATAACAATAACAACAACAACAACAACAATAACAATAACAATAACAATAACAATAATAATAATAATAATAATAATAATAATAATAATAATAATAATGTGAGGTGGTGCATATCACAGAAAAAAGAAAAAAAAACAACATGATCCACGGAACAGAAGTAAAACAAGTATCGGTGTCCCAACCACCATGGATGCAAAGATCTGCTGGAGCAAACTGTCTTCAGGTCCTTTCGAGATAAGAGGAGAGTTGGGAGAAAGCTCCCTTTGGCATCTCCTGCCTCCAAGAGGTCTTCCATTCCTGGCAGGAATGAGGGAGGAAGGGAGGAAATGATGACACCCCCAGAAGCAACTGGGATTTCCATGGGGAGAAGCAAGAAACAAACAAAACAGCTTGCCTCCAGAAATTATGGGTGCTCCATCAGTTTTTAAGGACATGGGACAGCCATTTGTCTGAAATGGGACACGATCTCCTGCTTAGAAAACCTCCAAGGTACTTTCCAACTCTGCTATTCTATTAATTTAGAGTGCAAATACAAGACTGGGGCAAAACTGAAGGGGCACAAGTGTTCAGACCAACTATTAACAAGTGGATCCACTTTTCAGGCGGGATGGAGGCCATAAGGGGGGGATCACAAACCCCAGGTGTTTCAGTGGCTGCCCTCTGTGGGCCTGGCAGAGAAAGTGCCACCGGTGGCCTCGTGGTTCTGCAATTGGCGGTGCTTTGCCTTCCAGAGGAAGACGGTGGGGGTCTTGGGGGCAAAAGGAGGTAGGCCTGAGCCGCCCCCTTGCCACTTTCCAAATCTCATGTCTTGAGTGGCACAATTTGGCTCTTTGGCGCCACTGACTGAATGGATAAAAACAGCAGACTGGCTGGGAAGGAGGAGCTGGCAACTGGAGACAACCTGGGCTGGCAGGGGATTCTGGGAGTTGGAGTCCCTGCACACTAGCTAGGGGCTCCTGGGAACCGGAGTCCACGTGTGCTGAGGATTCTGGGAGTTGGAGTCCCAGTGCACTAACTGGGGGGAGTTGGGAACCGGAGTCCACGTGTGCTGAGGATTCTGGGAGTTGGAGTCCCGGTGCACTAACTGGGGGGAGTTGGGAACCGGAGTCCACGTGTGCTGAGGATTCTGGGAGTTGGAGTCCCAGTGCACTAACTAGGGGCTTGGGAACTGGAGTCCACGTGTGCTGAGGATTCTGGGAGTTGGAGTCCCGGTGCACCAACTGGGGGGAGTGGGGAGTCCACGTGTGGCGGCTGGGGGGATTCTGGGAGTTGGAGTCCGGCCATCGCAGAGTTGCTGAGCTGGAGAAAGGCCGATCGGCGGTCTAGGGCTGCCGGGGTTGGGCATCGCAGGGGCGCCGAGGAAGGTCCTTTGGGGAGTCCGTCTCCGTCCAGGCAGCGCCGGGGCCTTCCGGGCTGGGCGGCGGGAGCGGATCGGGGGCAGACGAGGGACCCGATAGCGAATCGGAGCGGCTAAGCGCGACCCCTCTTGCGCTTTGCTGAGTCTACGGCGCGTCCGCCCAATCGCGGCCCCTCCCGGAACCTGGCGCGCAGGCGCAGCGCTTCGGCGGACGCTGGGCCGACGGGCCGGAAGCGGAAGCGGCTGAAGGGCGAGGAGGCGGCGGCGGAGGCTGCGAGGGACCGGCAGGGCCGGGCGGCGCATGATGTGGAGGGCCCGCGCGGCGGCGGCGGCGGCCTGGTTAGTGCGGGGCGCCTCCACAGAGCCGGGGCCGCGACTCCCGCTTCCTGGTGCCCGGCGGGGCTGAGGGGCCGGGGGGGGATCGGGATCCGCGTGGCTCCCGGGAAGCGTCTCTTCCTCCGGCCGCCCAGACTCGCCTTGCTCCGCTCGGCCCGGGCTCAGCCGAGGCGCCTCCGATGCCTCCCGAGGATCCCCCCCCCCGCCCTCCGGTGCTCCCGCGTGGGAGATGCGTTTTGGGGGCAGGAAGGCGGCCTCTCCGTCGCCGCCCCTGCTGGGGATGGTCAGGGGATACCGGGGGTGGGGTGGGGTGGGGGGGGGTGTAGGGCGGGAGGCTCTGCGGTCTGTCCCCGTTGTAGGAAGGGAGCGGTGATGCTGCGATGCCCGGGGGAACCGACGCCCCAGAAGGCCTCCTTCCTCAGAACTGGAGAAGCTCCTTGGATGGGAGTCGAAACGCCTTCAAAGGAAACCAAAAGCCCCAAGAAAGCCCAGATGCCTTCTGGGGACCCCCAGGGCCTCGGAGGATGGGGAGCCTCTACAGGCACCAGGGGAAGGGAAGGGAGACGGATCTCATGTTTATCTCAGTCATCCGGGTCCTGGTGGTCCCCAGGGTGCTTTTTCCAAAAGGCATCTGGGCTTTCTTGGGGCTTTTGTTTCCCGTGGAAACGTTTCGCTTCTCATCCGGAACTGAAGAAGCTTCTTGGATGAAAAGCAAAATGTTTTCAAGAGGGGAAAAAACGAAAGTCCAGTTGCCTTTTGGGGACCCCCAGGGCCTTGGAGGATGGAGAACCTCTACAGATACAAAGTGAATCTCCCTCCAAGGGATACCGATCCAGTGGTAAACACAGAGAGAGACCCTGTGATGTTGTGGAGACCGTGAGTTGAGACTAGCACTCCTAATGTTGGCGCCCCTTGGCTTTTTGTAATAATAAAGCCCATTTAATGGAGCCCACATTAAGATGCCACTATCCTCTTTTCTGGATTAATTATTTAGAAACTTAATATGCAATCCTATGC